TCTTTACTGTCGTTACTCTGAATTTTTTTCAGGTAGGTTGCCTATTTCGTCTTCATTTAATTGGTCTTGTAGGTTTTTACCTTGCTCCTTTGTTTGTAACATATTTTTTATAATTTCCTTTTTTTTTTTTTTGATGGGTGGTGCTGTATTTCTGTCTTACTGGCTGTTTAGCCTGAGACATCTAGCACTGGAGTCTGCAGGCAGTTGGATAGAGCTGGGTCTTGGTGCTGAGATGAGGCCCTCTGGGAGGCCTCACTCTGAATGATATTCCCTGGGGTCCTAAGTTCTCTGTTAGTCCAGCAGTTTGGACTTGGAGTTCCCACCACAGGAGCTCGTTGCCCAACCTCCGGCCTGGGAACCAAGATTCCGCAAGCTTTGTGGTGCGGTAAAAAAAAGAAAACAGAAAAAAAAACCAAACTGTACAGTATCAAAGAAAATAAAATTAGAAAGATAAAAAATGTATTAGGAAAAATAAAACTATAATTGAACCAACTGCAACAATGTAAAATAAAACCACACCAGAAAAAAGAAAACAGAAAAGGGGAAGGGGGAACAAGCCAAAAGGAGAGATCACTAGCAAAGTATAAAGAATAAAATAAAACTAGAAAAATAAAAGATTTATTAGGGAACATAATAATATAAAAGAATCAACAACAGTGAATCAACAAGGTAAAACAGAACCCCAATCTAAAAGAGGAAAAAGGAAAAAAAAAAAAAAGCCTTGGCCGTGGTGGCAGAGTTTAGGTGGGGTGGGACTTAGGCAGGGGTGGGTTTTAGGGTGGGGCGGAACCTAGGCAGGTGGGGGGGGTGTCGTTTGAGTGTGGGGTGGAGCCTAGGCGGGGTGACTTTCAAGCATGGGGTGGGGCCTCTGCTTAGGACCTGAATGATCAAGGAAGGGGAGAGGCAGTATGTCCAAAGGAGGGCTTCCGGAGTGTGGAGTTTCAGAGTTTGGATGTCGGGCCCTGAGTGAGGGTGTGTGGGTGGGGTTTAGGCCCAGCGCGTTGGAGGGGGTCTCTGAGTGCAGAGGTAGGGCCCTGGGTGGGGGTGTAGGGGCGGGGCTTGGGTTCTGTGGAGCAGGAGGGAGGCTTTAAGGGCAGAGTATTAGGCCTCGGAGCCCAACAGGCTCCCCGGTGCCTAAGTGGACAGGAAGAGCACTGGCCGTGTTCCCTTCTGTTCTTTCGCACCCCTCTCCCAACTGTCTCCCCAGGGTCTTCCTCCATTGCTGCTGGACTCCTAACTTTGGGTAGGTCCCACTGGGTGTAGGAACTCCTCCCCTCCCCCAGCTACCCCTCAGGGGTGCCAGTCCCATAGGTCTGGCCTTTACTTTTGCTCCCCCTTCCCTGCCTCCCATTCCCTCAGGACCCGTGTGGCTGGAGGGGTCCTAGGTGGGCAGAGGATCAGGCCCGGTATCTCTTACTGGGGGCCCAAGGGGGCAGGGGAAACCTGGCTACACTCCCTTTTGATCCTCTGCCCTCCCAGTGGTTCCCCAATTTCCCTTTCGGATGTGGGATCCCTTCCCCTCCCCCAGCCACCCCTCAGGGGCGCCAGACCCGTCCCACCTCCACTTCTCCCCCTTCACTCCCCCCACACCCAACATCCTACCCGGTCGCTGGGGGTTTCTCCTGTCCCCTTAGTTGACCATGGTTCCCCACTGGTGCCTGGTAGGTACCCTAGGTGTAAGGAGATGTAAATTCCAAATCCTCCTAGTACGCCATCTTGACTCCACCCCCACATGTATGTTTTTGAATCATATTTTGTCCAGGTATATTTCCAGGAGTGGCATTGCTGGATCATATGGTAATTCTATTTTTAGTTTTCTGAGAACCTCCATACTGTTTTCCATAGTGGCTGTATCAATTTACATTCCCACCAGCAGTGTAGGAGAGTTTCCTTTTCTCCACACCCTCTGCAGCATTTGTTATTTGTAGACTTTTTAATGATGGCCATTCTGACTGGTGTCAGGTGGTACCTCATTGTAGGTTTGATTTTCATTTCTCTATTAGTGATGTTGAGCATCTTTTCATGTGCCTGCTGGCCATCTGTATGTCTTCTTTGGAGAAATGTCTATTAAGGTCTTCTGCCCATTTTTCAGTTGGGTTGTTTGGGTTTTTTTGTTGTTGATTTGTATGAGTTGTTTGTATATTTTGGAGATTAAGTCCTTGTCTGTCTCATCATTTACAAATATTTTCTCCCATTCTGTAGGTTGTCTTTTCTTTTTGGTTATGGTTTCCTTTGCTGTGCAAAAGCTTGTAAGTTTGATTCAGTCCCATTTGTTTAGTTTTGTTTTTATTTCTATTGCCTTGGGAGACTGATCTAAGAAAACATTGGTATAATTTATGTCAGAGATGTTTTGCCTATGCTCTCCTCTAGGAGTTTTATGGTGTCATGTCTTATGTTTTAAGTCTTTAAGGCATTTTGACTTTATTTTTGTGCATGGTATGAGGGTGTGTTCTAACTTCATTGATTTACATGCAGCTCTCCAACTTTCCCAGCACAACTTGCTGAAGAGACTGTCTTTTTCCCATTTTATATTCTTGCCTCTTTTGTCGAAGATTAATTGACCATAGGTGTGTGGGTTTACTTCTGCAACCCAGGAATTCATTAACCTCAGTTTGAAATCTTATCTGCTCAGTCTTTGTTCTTATAATTCCTAGACAGAAAACAAAATGATACATTGGTTGCTGACTACATGCTCAATTAATTGTGAAAGCATGTGTATATAAAATTTTATAGAATGTATAGAAGTTAAAATAGGACAAACACACATTATAATTGTATGACGTTTGTATTGAATAGTACACTTGAGTTTAGGGCTTATATTTAATTAGGAACAAGCCAGAAGGTGACAGGAGCATCTTCATCACTGAAATGAAATTCAGAAAGGCTTTTTTGGTGCAGATTTCTATAAGCAGCTAAAAGAGCAAAGGCCACTGACTAGCTTTTAAAGAAACCAAATACTAGGAACAACTCTTTTGCAGAGGTTTCATGATTGTACATTTCTCCCTCATTATGTTACCTTCAAAACAGGTTTTGGCTTACTTGAGCATCATCTTTTTTTTTTTTTAATAAATTTATTTATTTTATTTTGGCTCTGTTGGGTCTTTGTTGCTGCGCAGGCTTTCTCTAGTTTCGGCGAGCGGGGGCTACTCTTCATTGCGGTGCGAGGGCTTCTCATTGCGGTGGCTTCACTTGTTGCAGAGCACCAGCTCTAGGCACTTGGGCTTCAGTAGTTGTGGCACGCGGGCTCAGTAGTCGTGGTGCACAGGCTTAGTTGCTCCACGGCATGTGGGATCTTCCTGGACCAGGGCTTGAACCTGTGTCCCCTGCATTCGCAGGAGATTCTCAACCCCTGTGCCACCAGGGAAGCCCTACTTGAGCATCATCTTATCAGCACTAGCATTATTACAAGTCTGTTTGCACTAAAGATTCTGTCTTTTGGTCCCTCTTCTGATGTTTGCTTTACTATATATAGCAAATTTTATTTATACATAGAGAGAGAGTTATGTATAGTTACATAGTTACATAGTATGACTTTTTTCTTTGAACCCTGAAGCTTGAGCTTAGATGCTGGCTAACTCTCAGAGTTACAGTTTGATCAGCATGATCTGGTATCCACATAACCAAGCCTTCCATTTCTGCCATGGGATTTGCCTTCAAACAGTTGATTGTAGCTGCTTTCTCTGACCAATCATTTTTAAGGAATGATTCTGATAACAGTTAACATACCTATCTGAACTTATCCTTCCAAATGAGTATTGTTTTTAAAGTAATTCCCTTAGGATATATTATGATAAATTATGAGTAAGTGACATGAATGTACCTGTGAGAATCTGATATTAGAACTTGCACCAAGAGTGGGTTTTTCTGTATTCTAGAGTTTATTAGATCTTCTCCTATTGCATATTACTAACAAATTTAATAAAGAGAACAGTTAAGATTTCATATTTATAATATTGCTATGTAAAAACCCCAATAATTAAGATGCAACATTTTAAATAAGTTTAATCCCCAAAACAATAATTTGGTAATGAATGGTTACATGAAGTAAATTTTAATAATTAATAAGCAGTATACTTTTAACTGCTTAGGGTGACAGTTACCTAAATTTAACTGAAGTATCTCTTCACATAGGCATTAACAGATCAACAGCAGTTTGGTAAAGCTGATGAAATGTATGATAAATGTATTAATTTGGAACCAGACAATGCCACAACATACGTTCATAAAGGGTATGTATTTTTGTGGGTCTGTTTGTTCCAGTAAGAAACTAAATTTCTTGCATAGTAGTAAGATGGATTTCTTTTGGTCGCTGAGAAAGGGGACTGTGGTAGATAGTGTCAGTGTTAACTGAAAAATTTCTTAGTGCTGTGCATGCTTCACTGTTACTTTTTCTTTTACTTATGTTTCATTATTATACAATAATTAGTAAATATGCTATTTTCACCCTAGCTTAAGTATTTCAGTTCTGAACATCCTGTCAGATGTTAACTTGTATCAAAATAGGAAACATGTAAGATAAGTTTTTCCTGTCCTAGTATACTTGAATTGTCATTTTAAAACTTCACTTAAATTTATACAGAGTAAAACATTAAGCTGTGCAAAATAAGTTAATAATAGAGCCTAGACCATTGGACACTCTTTTCATAATAAGGAATTTAGACTACAAAGCCATTATAAATTGAGGGCAAAAAACCAATTTGATGCTGATTCTGTACTGTTTTAGAGTTTGTTTTTCCTTGTAAATTAAATTATAAATTCATTGAGAGCCAGTTGATACTGGGCCATGGTCACATCTGACTGCTGTTTTGCATTTGCAGTTTACTTCAGCTTCAGTGGAAGCAAGATCTGGATAGAGGTTTGGAGCTTATCAGCAAGGCTATTGAAATTGACAATAAATGTGATTTTGCATATGAAACCATGGGAACTATTGAAGTACAAAGGTAACTTCTAGAGTCTGTCCTTAGGAAAGTTAGGGCATCTCCATATTTATCTTTTCATTCTTCTCATTATAGACAGGTTATTGTCAATAATCATTAAATTTTTAAGTCTTAACATGTTGTGCCTTTTGAGGCAATATTCCCTTCAAACTATACAACTTTGATTTGCCTTGTTTAATTATTTTTCCTGTTTAAAAGTCACACTTAAAAGTTGTTTAAGTCAGGCATATACATTAGAAAGGGAAACTTGATCTGTCTCCAATACCTGTTGTGTTTTTTCCTCCTTTCACCTGTATTATTTCTCTTGGAGGGAAAACATCTGCAGCGTACTTAGGCAGTGCAGTGTAGCATAAGGATTGGCAGCCACGTTGCCCGAAGACTTAGATCCTGCTACAGCCAAGGGGCTAGGCAAATTGTACCATCACCTCTGAGCCCCCCGAGTTTTCTTTAAAATCAGGGAGTTGGATAAGAACTTTTGGAATTCTTTCATGTAACTTCTTGTTTTCTGTAAATGTTTATCCAGAGTTGCACTTGAGATCCACCATTAATAGGTGATAACTCTTTATGCCATAGAATTTAGTGTAATGTACCATCTTGATACTGGCATTGCCGTCCATTTGAGTATCTACTCTAGGCCAGGTACTGAACTCTAGGAGCTTTCCAAATATTATTTCAATTGATTTTTACCCCAGTCTTTATAAAGGCTGAGGTTATATGATCCTCCATTTAATTGAAGAGTGTAGAAACTGATGCCCAGACTGGTTAAAATAACAAGGTTACATGGTAAGCACGTACAAAGAGGACATGAGCCCATATTTCACTGATGCCGAAAGTAACAGATCTTGCCACCATTGCTTGTCAGGAATTAGTAGTTGTCGTCTTAATAACCTGTCATGCAGTCACTTCTGGGGTCCTCTGTCTTTCTGCTCCAGAGTAGGCAGAATATATATAGGCTGATGAAAATTTTTGTGATTCTTTTTATCCATCTATACTGACAGTTGCATATAAATATTAAATTATTTCTTAATCGCCAGTTTGTTAATGTGTATAAAATATTCTCATACTAGAATATGATGGGGTAATAGTTCTTAATCTTTTGAGCAAAGCTGTGGCTTTTTCCTAAAATAATGCACATACAAAAACTCTTTGCAGATAAGTTGTTCCTAGAGCCTGGGTTAAGGACCCCTGATTTATGGGGTTTGATGAATTTTGTTTGTGTGTTAATTGTACTTTAAGAAATCCATTCTGAATCCTGCTTTACAAATAGATAAGTGAATGTGAATGAATGAAATTGCTGTTTATCCTAGGATTTAGCAAATCTGCTGTCTACCTAATATCTGAACATGAACTCTCAAAGTTATTTTCTTTTTAATTAAGTCTGTTATGTACTGTATCAATATATGTAGTAGGAGATTGAGTACAGTCTCCCCAGAGGTACATTGTACTTCTTAGACTCTAACTGGCATATATATAGTGGGGACTTAATACAGTATTTATTTTAAGATTACATGCATGTATGCATATATACATAGCCAGTACTATGTATAAGTATAAGTTACCTTAAAATAGCTCTTGGTTCTTGGCAAGTATATAGAGCCTGATCACAGTTAGACTGTAAGAGATAAATTATATATTTTTTGACCAAGCATATTCATCCATTTATTCAAAAAATGGATACTAGCTACCAAGCATTGTACTAGGTTCTAGGAATTGAAAGGTGTCCCGTAAGGATCTGGTAAGACTGTGGTGTAAACAAATATCAATATATATTCATCTGACTGTGCATAGAATGACAATAGAATCATGGGAACAGTGGGGAGGGAGCGGCCAATTCCTCTAGCGTGGGAAGGGGAGAGTATTTTTCATGAGGATATTGTATTTGAACTGGGCCTTAGAAAGGTGAGGATTTGGCTAGAATCAGGCAGAGAAGCAGTAAATAATCTGAGCATTATGAGCATGAGTGAACTCAGGGAGACCTGTGTGTATGGAGTAGAGTGTTGGGTAAGGGATATGCTGGTAGGGCTCACACAGATCTGTGAAGGTAAGGCCCCTGAATACCTGTAATGTTCTCTGAGGCTATGTCACTGCTTTCTAAAGGAGCCTCATGGTGGAGTAGAAACAAGCAGAATTTAGGAACCAGATATGATTATGATTTTAAATAAGTCATTTAGTTTCTCTAGTCTCACTGTTCTTATCTGTAAACAAAGACCACAAACAAAGACCACAAGTAGCATAATATAAGCATATAGTATTTGTAATAGTAGCTAACATTCATTGAGTGTTTTCTATATGCTAGGCATTATTTTGTTATAAAGAAGCATTTTATTAGAATCATAGTTGAAACTTAAAGGTCAGGCTCCACGTAGCTTCACTTATAAACTTCATTGCATTCTGTGAAGTGCTTGTTGAATCTGAAACATTTAAAATTGTTGTTGTTTTAGAGGAAACATGGAGAAAGCCATTGACATGTTCAACAAAGCTATAAACCTGGCCAAATCAGAAATGGAGATGGCTCATCTATACTCACTCTGTGATGCTGCCCATGCCCAGACAGAAGTTGCAAAGAAATATGGATTAAAACCACCGACATTATAAAATACGGGGGACGGAAAATGACCCTCTTTTTAGGAGTTTACCCCCTCTTCAACTGAACCCTAAAGACACTGTCGTGAACTACGTTGAATGGTGGAGCTTAGTATTTCTGTCTGTGCTGTTGTCATTTGTTACATCTGTTTCATTTTTAGGTGTTGTGGGAGTGCCTGTTGAAGAAAGTTTGCAGTGTTGCAGCTTTTATGCCCTGTGCAACAAAAGCTTAGAACCTGTTAAAGGGATATTAAAATGAAGTTGCAAAGAGTACAAATGATAATTGGCCATGCAAATAAAAATTTTGATTTGTTGATCTGACTTTTTTTTTTGAGGGGGGTGGGAGGGTGACTGTGTTCTGGATGATCTTGTCTTTGTGTGTGCGTGCGTGTGTGTGTGTATAATATATGAGTATTTTGCAGTTTTACAGCATGTTGGTTTTTAAATTAACATAGTAAGTGCTGTAAAATAAGATTCTTTTAGATTTGATTAATCCCTTTTAGTTAATTTTTTTTTTTGAAGGAAACAGCTTAAGTGGGGATTTCGTTTTTACGACAGCAAAATGGAGACCCTTTTAACCACTGTTAGCATGCACAATGCCTCTGATTCTGCAGAACATTAGATGCAGTGGCGACGCTTAAACCTTTGACCCCCTTCAACTATAATGGATAATGTACATCGTTCTTAAAATCTACAGCAGCTGGTTTTCATAGAGTAAATTATGCAGAAGCAAGATATTCTAATTGATATATGTGCTAGAAGACTGAGAATTAATGGGACAGCAGACCAGGCAAGAGGTAAGATGAAATGAAAATGTATTTATAATTGCCCATGGCTATTTTCTACAATAGGTATTACTATTTAACAGTGTACTTTTTAAAGAAAATGCAGGTTGGTTGTGTATGTAAAGACTAAGTGTGATAAGTAGTTAATTAGCTTAAAATTTCTAGTGAAGAAAATGTGGCCTAACAGTTCAAAAAGGATGGAAGTCGGGCTTCCCTGGTGGCACAGTGGTTGAGAGTCCGCCTGCCGATGCAGGAGACGCGGGTTCGTGCCCCCGTCTGGGAAGATCCCACATGCCGCGGAGCGGCTGTGCCCGTGAGCCATGGCCGCTGAGCCTGCGCGTCCGGAGCCTGTGCTCCGCAACGGGAGAGGCCCCAACAGTGAGAGGCCCGTGTACCACAAAAAAAAAAAAAAAAAAGAAAAAGGAAAAAAAAAAAGGATGAAAGTCGTAGATCCAGAAGCATAGTATTTCCTGAAGTAGCAAGTTTAATGCTTCTTAACTATGGCTACATGTACTTAAGGGATTTTGAGCCAGTATTTTCAAAGATGCTGAGGACACGTGGAGTGCATTTTAGTTTTGAACTAACCTTGGTCTCTAAGGCCTGGCTGACTGACCGTGTCCACACTACACTAAGGTTTCTGACAGCAGATTTTTGTTTTGTTTTGTTCATTTTACCTTTACCTCACCCTCTTACTTAGAAATCACTTTGTGTTTTTTCCAATTGTTACTTTTATAGATCATCCTTTTGCTTATATGCTGGATTTTTCTGGTGGGGGTGGAGAGGTGTTCTTAAAGAGTCTCTTGTTTTGAGATATTCAGGGTGGGGAGAGGTTTACTTAAGTCTGAGTATAATAAAAAGAGCAAGCCTTCAGTTGTACTTTTCTGGAAATGGAATCTAATTAGAGTTTACATTGTTGGGAGTAAATGAGCATTTTACCCCTCTTTAAAAGGGTGCTTTATCCTATTGAAACCAAAAGGTTTTGTCAAAATGCTGTCTTTTTAGAAGCTACTAGAAATGACTCCCTTCCAAAGTCAGAGTCTGGAAAACATTGAAGGGGCAATAATTGGTGGGGGGCAGTTAACATAATTTAAGATGGTTTGGATAATGGAATGTTTGAGAGCTCTGCATTTTAGTTTTTAAATTATGCACCTACTATAAGCCCCGAATACAGAAATGTTCTGTATCTCTGAATAACCTCTGACTTTAAAAAGAAGTTTTTATTTGCATGGCTGTATTTACATTAACACTGATATTTTCTTCTCTCTTCTCGCTTCCTATCCCTTGGGGTTCAGTAGAAAACACACCAAGGAAACTGAAGCATGTACCATTCAATACTAACATTCCACATCCTCATGGACTATTGCCTGTTCTGAAAAATATTTGAAACTGCACTGAAAGCTGCATCTGTCTGTGTCTTTTCTATTGTAAATGATCTCACGTGTAAATTCACCAAATAAATATTACATTCAAGCTTTTCAATCTATTCTTTAAATAGAAAGAGAGGTATTCATTTACCATAGTATTGGGTAAATGCATTATCATTCTCTTTGTGGGCTCAAACTAACTTTGAAAAAAGGGACATACTGGACACGTTAGTATCTGAAGCACAATAAGTTTTAGGTATTAAAGATGGAGTTTCCCCATCCTTCCTCCTGGTGAAGCAAAGCTCTAAGAACTGCTAGTAGAGCCATTTACTTTATTCCTACCTATACCTTACCCATACTTGGACAACAGCCTGGAAGGTTACTAATCAGACCTGAGGCCTGTGACTAAGTTTATACTCAAAACTGGTTTCACCAGTGAGTTTTGATCAGTTTTCAACCACTTGGAGCCTTTAAGAGAGGATACCTGAAAATATCTACCACCGTTGAGTATTGTGGTACGAATAGGGAATAGATCTCAAAGCAATAGTAAGCAGCTTTGGCTTAAAAACACAATTCAGATAGAACTTTCTGCCCTGTGGAGACTCAAATGGTAGTTTAAATAGTCCTTTTTCCCAGGAGAGCTCAACTAATTGTCATCTTCTTAAGGCTGTTTATAAACAGGAAGACTATATAATTTACCCAAGAAATTTTTGAGCATAAAGTAATAATTACTCAAGACTGTCCTGGGTAAGTTGGGTTGTATGGTCTTTGTATTTATAAAGAAATAATATGGGAGTGGTGATGGGAGGGGTAATAATTAATCAAGCCTACCTTTAGTTCTCTGCAAAACTGATTGGCAAACAAAGTGACAAGAATTTTAACTTGATCTATTTATAAGCCTTAACACACTGCAATAGAATGAATAATGGTCCTCCAAAAGATATCCAAATCTTGATCCCTGGAACCTGTGAATGTTACCTATTTATGTGGCAAAAATGGACTTTGCAGGTGTTATTCAGTTAAGAATCTTGAGATGGGGAAAATATCCTGGGTTATCTAGGTAGACCCCAACTATAATTACAAATGTCCTTGTAAAAGGGAGATTTCAGGAGAAGAGAAGACAGTGCGACAACAGGCAGAGATCAGAGTGATGTGGCCGCAAGCCAAGGAATGCTGGCAGCCACCAGAAGCTGGAAAGGCAAGAAATGGATTCTGCCCTAGAGCAGAGCTCGGCCCTGCTGACACCTTGATTTCGGCCCAGTGAAACTGACTTCGGACTTCTGGCCTTCAGAACTATGAGAGTGAGTTCCTGTTGTGTTAGCCACTAAATACGTGGCGGTTTGTTACAACAGCCACAGGAAACTAATACTCCTTCGGTTATTGTATACAACACAGCTTACAGTTTAAAGGAATTATTTTGAGTATCGCGGAGTTCAGCATGACTTCACATGCACTTAAGTTTTGGCCAAAGGTGTTTTAGGCCCAGAGTGGAGGTTTAGTCAAGAGCTGGAGCATTTGTGATGTAAAATACATATGAGCATGGTATAATCACCAGGCCAAAAGCCTGCTCTTCATGAGGTAAAAATGTTGAGATGCCTCTGCTGATACCTAGAAGAAACATCAGAAGTAAGATGCTCTTTCCAGGTGTTTTGAAACTCTTAAAATTAGGCAGTATGAAAACTACAGTCTGGTTTATTTCAAGCAGACGGTGCATAAATTCTGTTGGGGGTTGAGAGCTAATATTAGACTCTTCTAGATGGCCTACATGCTAGAAGGGATTAAAGAGCCTGCTGATCACTGGGACAGGAATGGTGCTAACCAAAGGAGGGGAGGAAGTTCAAGGTGGGAGGAGGCTGCGGGCCAACATGACAGCTACCGTTAGAGCCCAGAGACACGTGGTTCAATTTCTCCAGCATTTTTTCTAGCACTGGAATATACCATGACTCTGCAAGTGCTGTCCTAGAGGCCATGAGAGGGTTTGGCAGACAGGGCTTCTAGAGCAAATAGAGAGGAGGAAGACCATGACTGAAACAGACTCCTGGACACCATTTTGGGGGCTGGAAAGTTTAAAGCAAGGGGGGACCAGATAGAGCAGGTGGGATTCTCTGCACAGATGACCCATAGTCTAAATTTCAGTGAACTGCTATATTAAGCAAATTTTACCCAATTTTATTTCTCAGAATATCTACAAGAACACTGAAGGGTCTAAGATTTTACCCTTCCTCAAACAACAGTTTCATGAAGGCTAGCAGAAGATGTGAGATCCTGGGTCAGAGACAATGGATTTAATTACTTAGAGCACGGTAAGCAACATGAGCTTCATGTTTGCTTTGCACCCCACATCCCATGGAGGTAACCTGGAGTAATCTAGGTGGAGGCTGCACATGGAGTGGGTTTGTATCACAGCTGAGGAACTCTGAGTTTAGGAAACCCAAATCTTAATGAGCTGGCCACACACAAACCTGCCTAACTTTTGCATCAGAGGGAAACATTTTTATTGTACTGGTTAGTAAAGAGACCATCTGTCTTCTAAAGCTGTTCACTTTATACAAACATCTTTGAAATACCAGTCTGGAATAAAAGCTATCAGTGCCTCTATTTGCAAGACATGCAGAAACTAGAGAGACCTATGGAGAATGGACTACCCATCTCTACATGTTCTTAGCTCTTACTAATTCATCTCGAGCTTAATCTTTCTTGAGTTTAGAAGATCACAGTGTCTATTTTGGACCACAGCATAGTGCAGAGAAAAGTCTTATTGGTCTGAGGATCAGCTGACCTTTGTTCTAACTAACACAGCTTTCCACTGGCTGTGCGATCTTAAGTAAATGAAGTTCCCATCCAGCTCTAAATTACATGAAGCTATACCATGTCCTAGATCTCCCCAGATAAGAATCCCTTAGGGTAAGGGAACCATTCCAGAATATACAGAAGTTATTTAACCAGAAAACTGGCACATGTACAAGTACAAACTGTAGGAATGAATTCACTGCAACTCAGCATTTACTGAGCACATATTCATTGGGTGGCTCAAGGAGCTCCAAAACTAGGATGAGTTTCAGTGCCATGAAGTTATACACACTGTGGTATGGAAATACATGACAGTAATAAATTCTGCTAGGCCTTGAGTAATAGGATTTAGGTAAGGAGCTTTCTAGAAGATGGGGACATCACAAAACAACACACACAAAAACTAAGTTAAGGGACATTATGAGTCTGAGCTGAAAATAAGCCATCCAAGTTAGATTCCAGCAAGATGAAGCTGTTTTCTTTAAACTGGTTAGGAGACACCAATAGTGGAACTACCTGTGTGAGGATTATCAGCATATACTTAAGACCATGCATGTAGATGAGATTACATCAGGACAAAAAGAACTAAAAACTGGGAAACATCAACATCTAAGGGACAAAGTTGGCAATGAAAAAGTGGTCAGAGAGATAGTAAGACCTAAGACCAAGGTCACATTGATGGTCTTGCATTTCAAGAAGCCAAATGGACAGGTCTGCAAATAGATCATTAGTAGTCTTTGCCAGAGAAGTGTAACTAGAATGATGAGGGGAGAATCTGTCTAAAAGAGTCTGTAAAGTAACTGAAAAACAAGAATTAACTGGTGAGTAGAAATGACTCCTTTAAGAAACTGGGTGAAAAGAAAAGTTTTTTACAGGATGGCATGGTTTTTGTTTTGAGGGAGAAACTTTCAGAATGATCCTACAGACACAAGAGTAGTTAGAATAGTTGCACACAAAGAAATACATTTATAGGGTTTAAAACATTTCAAGAAAAGCTAGGATCACAAACTGCACCTTTACCACCATGCTCCATTCTTCCAGATTCTTATTCATTTGGTGAATTATGAACCAGCTACCAAGTAATCATTGAACAAGAGGTAATGTCCTTGTATGTATGTGTTTTTAGTAATTTGTAGATCTGGGGCTTAATTTTTTACTTCCTGATTTTAACAAGACCGTTTTTTTTTCCTAAAGTGAAGTCTCTTCAACAGCTATATTTTTAATTACCCTCCAGTCTTCACTCAAGATGAAATAGACCTGAATGAAGATAATAATTTGACAAGAAACTCTTGACACAAAGGTGTTCATAAGGCATAAAGGAGAAAAGCCCATATTAAGCCTGCCACCCTGGCAATATATTTGGTGAGTGCAGACATCACAGAACACATCTTTTCCCTTTCCATCACCTGGCTTTATCAAACCCATTCACCACCAAAACCTATACAGCAGTGCTTAAGGAGCAGCATAAAAGACTTAAAACTAGTGCCAGTGGAGCAGAACATTTGCCCAGAAACCTAAACTTTTAAGAAACAGTAGCTGATAATGTTCTAAATTTGATGAGAACTTAAACCCAAGGATGCAAGACTCTCACAGAACCCCAAGCATAAGACACATGAAGAAAACTACACTAAAGCACATCCTATAATCAAATTTTGTAAAATCAGTGATGAGAAAAATCTTAAGAGCAGAAAGAGAAAAAAAGACATTACAAGAGGAACAACAGGTACAAATGACAGTACACTTCACCTCTGAGAAAGTAAGCCAGAAGACATTAGAGCAAAATAATTATTCAAAGGAAAAAAAAAAAGGTGAGCCTAGAATTTTATAATCAATAAAAATATATTTTTTAAAATGAAAGCAAAATAAAACTTTTTTCAGACATACAAAAGCTGAAAGAATTAATCACCAGCAGATCTACAGTACCAGAAATGTAAAAGGATGTCCCTCAAGCAGAAGGAAAATGGATCTACTCTAATGAAGAGTACTAGAGATGATAATGTGTTGGTAAACATAAAAGACACCTACCTACTTTTAAAATCTCTTTAGAAGATTACTGGCTGTTTAAAACAAAATCAGCAATGTGTTGTGGGGTTTATATATATGTTGAAGTACAAAATATGACAATAAAAAAGGAGTGAAATTAAGTATACTGCTGTAAGATCCATACATATCAAGTGTTAGACAACTTGAAGGTAGACTGACATGTTAAGGATGCATACTAACTACAAACCCTAAAGGAACAATTAAAATAACACCACAAAGAATTATCATTTATAATCCAACAGAGGAGACAAAGTGAATCAAAGAATGATATTCAGTTAATCCAAGAAGAAGAAAAGGAAAAAGGGAACAAAGAATAAGATAAATACAAAATTTTAAAATGGTAGATTTAAATGCAACCATATCAATAATCACATTAAATATAAATGGTCAAAAAACCCCAATTAAAAGGCAGAGATTACCAAACCATAAAAAAAATGTATGATCCACCTGTGTGGTACCTAAAAGAAACCCACTTTAAATATGAAGACACAAGTAAGTTAAAATTAAAAGAACTGAGGAAAAAGATGTATTGTGATAATACTAATCAAAAGAAAGTTGGACTGGCATTATTGGACTGGCATTATCAGACAGAGTCCCTTTAGAGCAAAAATAATAGATAAAGTGTTATTTCATAATGAAAAAAGGGCCAGTTCATCAAGATGACACAGCAGCCCTAAATATGCACTAATAAGAGAGCTTCAACATACCTGAAGCAAAAAATGAGAGAACTGTAATGAGAAACAGACAAATCCATAATTATACTCAGATATCAACACCCCTCTAATAACTGATAGAAAAATTAGAAAATGACTACAGATATAGAACACTTAAAAACACTATCACCCAATATGACTTAATTGATATTTACAGAACACTCCACCCATAACAGCAGAATACACATTCTTTTCAACTGCACATAGAACATTTACTAAGAGCATATTCTGGGCCATAAAATATCTCATTAAACAAATTTAAAAGTATTCAAATTATACAGGTGTGTTATCTGGCCACGATGGAATCAAATTATAAATAACAGATTTCGAAAATCCCCAAATATTCTGAAATTAACATAAATAATAACCCTTGGATAAAGACAATGTTAAAAGGAAAATAAGACAATATTTTAAACTACATGAAAATGAAAATACATCAAAGACTGGGGATGCAACTAAAGCAATACTTAGAGGGAAATTTGTAGCATTAAACAACTTTATAAGAAAGGAGGAAAGGTCTTCAATGACCCTAAGCACCCAGTTTAAGAAACTAGAAAAATAAGAGCAAATGAAACCCAAAGTAAACAGAAGAAAGAAAATAAGAGCAGAAATAAGCAAAATCAAATCTGAAAAACAGATAATAGGACCGAAAGCTGGTTCTATTGAAAGATCAACAAAATTGATAAATGACCAGAATAATCAAAATTAAGAGACAAGATACAAATTACCACATAGTTCTCAGTCCATTGAAGAGAAAGAAATACATCCTAAGTCATTCTGAGGCCAGCAGACCCTGATTCCTAAACTAGACACAGGTATTACAAGGAAAGAAAATTCTTAAAATGTAAGCAAATCAAACCCAGCAATTTATTTATTTTTTTAAACAAAGCAGAGGGTTTGGGGTTTTTTTTAAAAATTTATTTATTTTTGGCTGCGTTGGGTCTTCGTTGCTGCTTTAGTTGCAGCGAGCAGGGGCCACTCCTCGTTGCAGTGCACAGGCTTCTCATTCAGGTGGCTTCCCCTGTTGCGGAGCATGGGCTCTAGGCACACGGGCTTCAGTAGTTGTGGCACGTGGGCTTCAGAGTGCAGGCTCAGTAGCTGTAGCGCACAGGCCCAGTTGCTCCGTGGCATGTGGGATCTTCCCAGATCAGGGCTTGAACCCGTGTCCCCTGCATCGGCAGGTGGATTCTTAACCACTGTGCCACCAGGGAAGCCCAAGCAATATATTTTAAAAGAAACTTAATATATTATGGTCAAGTAAAATTTATCCCAGGAATGTAAGTTTGGTTTATCATTCCAAAATCAGTATAATTCACAATATATAAACATAGACTAAAGAAGAAAAAAGATAAGTTTGTCTCAATAAGGCAGAAAAGACATCTGGAAAAAAAATCCAACATCCTTTCCAGATAAAAACTCTCAGCACACTAGGAATAGAAGGGAATTTCCCCAACCTCATTGAAGGCATCTTTGAAAGACTTAAGTGCTTTCTTGTAAGATCAGGACCAACACAAATATGTTCACTCACTAGTCTATTCAGAACTGTACTAGAGGTTCTAGCCAGTGCCATAGGCCAGAATAAATAAATAAGTTAATAAAAGAACCAGATTGGAAAGGAAGAAGCTTATTTTGTTAACTGTATTTGCAGACATGATCATCTATGTGAAAAATCATATGGAATACACATATAAAAAGCTGCTAGAGTGAATTTAGCAAGGTTTCAGGATAAAAGACCATATACAGAAATAAATTATATTTTATACACTAGCAATGAAAAACTAGAAATGTTTCCAAAACAATACTGCAGCATCAAAACAATTGCAGTCTTCAGGGATAAAATGGACAAAAGTTTTGCATTACCTTTATACTGGAACTAACAAACGCTGCTGAGAGAAATTAAGGAAGGCCTAAATAATTGAGATATCTCATGTTCCTGAGTCAGTGATTCAGTATGGATAAGACTTCAACTTTCCACCAAACTGTTCTATAGATTCAATGCAATCCCAGTGAAAACCCTGACAGGCTTTTTTTCTGGGGAAATTTACAACCTGATTCTGAAGTTTGTATGGAAATACAAAGGACTTAGTTTAAACCATTTTGAAAAATAAGTTGGAGGACTAATACTATCTGACTTAAAGACTTACTATAAATTTACAGGGCTTTCCTGGTGGCACAGTTGTTGAGAGTCCCCCTGCCAGTGCAGGGTACACAGGTTTGGGCCCTGGTCCGGGAAGATCCCACATACTGTGGAGCAACTGGGCCCGCGAGCCACAACTACTGGGGCCCATGTGCCTGGAGCCAGTGCTCTGCAGCGGGAGGGGCCGCCACAGTGAGAAGCCCATGCACCACAACTAGAGAAAGGCCCACGCACAGCAGCGAAGACCCAGCGCAGCCCAAAATAAATAAAATAAATTTTTAAAGAAGAGCCAAACCATTTAAAAGAAGAAAAAGAAAAAATAAAGTTACAGTAATCAACATAGTAAGTTACTGGTGTAAAGATAAACAGATTAATGAAAAACAAGAGACGAGTCCAGAAATAGATCAAGATACATATGGCCAATTCATTTTAATAAAGATGCCAAGGCAATTCAGTGGAACGACTGGATAGCTATAAGCAAAAAAAAAAAAAAAATCTTGACTCTTACCTCACACCATATACAAACAATTACCAATTCAAAATGGGTCATACCCTGAACAGCCAAAGCAATCTTGAGAAAGAAAAATGGAGCTGGAGGACTCAGGCTCTCTGACCTCAGGCTATTCTACAAAGCTACAGTAATCAAAACAGTATATTACTGGCACAGAAACAGAAATACACAGATCAATGGAACAGGAGAGAAAGCCCAGAAATAAACCCATGCACCTATGGTCAATTATTCCATGACAAAGTAGGCAAGAATATACAATGGAGAAAAGACAGTCTTCAATAAGTGGTGCTGGGAAAACTGGAAAGCCACATGTAAAAGAATGAAATTAGAACATTCTCCAACACTATAAACAAAAATAAACTCAAAATGGGTTAAAGGCCTAAATGTAAGACCAAATACTATAAAACTCTTAGAGGAAAATGTAGGCAGAACACTCTTTGACATAAGTCACAGCAATATTTTTTTGAATCTACCTCCTAGAGTAATGAAAATAAAAACAAAAATAAACAAATGGGACCTAATTAAACTTAAAACCTTTTGCACAGCAAAGGAAACCATAAACAAAACGAAAAGACAACTCACAGAATGGGAGAAAATATTTGCAAACAATGCAACCAACAAGGGATTAATCTGCAAAGTATATAAAGACCTCATATAACTCAATATCAAAAAACATACAGGGGCTTCCCTGGTGGCGCAGTGGTTGAGAGTCCGCCTGCTGATGCAGGGGACACGGGTTCGTGCCCCGGTCTGGGAAGATCCCACATGCCGTGAAGCGGCTAGGCCCATGAGCCATGGCCGCTGAGCCTGCAAGTCCGGAGCCTGTGCTCCACAATGGGAGAGGCCACAACAGTGAGAGGCCCGCGAACCAGAAAAACAAACAAACAAAAAACATACAAAAACCAAACAACTCAATTAAAACATAAGAAGACCTGAACAGACATTTTTCCAAAGACATACACATGGCCAAAAAGCACATGAAAAGATGCTCAACACTGCTAATTATTAGGGAAATGCAAATCAAAACTACAATGAGTTGTCACCTCACGTGGGTCAGAATGGCCATCATCAAAAAGTTTGTAAGAGAGTAGCACTGACATATATACACTACCAAATGTAAAATCGATAGCTAGTGGGAAGTGGCTGTATAGCACAGGGAGATCAGCTCGGTGCTTTGTGACCACCTAGAGGGGTGGGATAGGGAGGCTCAAGAGGGAGGGGATATGGGGATATATGTATACATATAGCTGATTCACTTTGTTATAAAGCAGAAACTAACAACATTGTAAATCAATTATATTCCAATAAAGATGTTAAAAAAGATTAATAAAATAATATAGTTTTTAAAAAGTTTACAAATAATAAATGCTGGAGAGGGTGTGGAGAAAAGGGAACCCTCCTACACTGTTGGTGGGAATGTAAATTGGTACAGCCACTATGAGAACAGTATGGAGGTTCCTTAAAAAACTAAAAATAGAGCTACCATAATGATCGAGCAATCACAATCCTTAGGCATCTATCTGGAAGAAACCATACTCTGAAAAGATACGTACCCCAATGTTCACTGCAGCACTACTTAGAACAGCCAAGACATGGAAGCAACCTAAACGTTTATGGACAGATGAATGGATAAAGATGTAGTAAATATACACAATGCAATATTAGCCATAAAAAAGAATGAAGTAATTAATGGCATTTGCAGCAACGTGGATGGACCTAGAGATTATCATACTAAGTTAAGTCAGCCAAAGACAAATATCATATGATATCACTTATATGTGGAATCTAAAAAACATGATACAAATGAACTTACAAAACAGAAACAGACTCACAGAAGACAAACTTATGGTTACCAAAAGGGAAAGGTGGGGGGGGGGATAAATTAGGAAGTTGGGATTAACATATACACACTGCCATATATAAAAGACAATCAACAAGGACCTACTATTTAGCACAAGGAACTCTACTCAATACTCTGTAATCTATGTGGGAAAAGAATCTGAAAAAGAATAGTTATATGTATGTATATGTATAACTGAATCACTTTGCTGTACACCTGAAACTAACACAACATTGTAAATCAACTATACTCCAATATAAAATAAAAATTAAAAAATAAAATAAAATGGGTCATAGACCTAAATTCATGACAAACTGTATTTAAAAAAAGCAATTAATTGGCCTTCATGAAAATTTAAAACTTTTACTTTTTAAATAATACGTTTAAGAAAATGAAGACTGGGCTTCCCTGGTGGTGCAGTGGTTGAGAGTCCGCCTGCCGATGTAGGGGACACGGGTTCGTGCCCCGGTCCGGGAAGATCCCACATGCCGTGGAGCGGCTGGGCCCGTGAGCCATGGCCGCTGAGCCTGCGCGTCCGGAGCCTGGGCTCCACAACGGGAGAGGCCACAACAGTGAGAGGCCCGCGTACCAGGAAAAAAAAAAAAGAAAATGAAGACTTTTTTCCCTCAAACTTAGAGAATATATTTGTAAAAATTAAAACCTAACAAAGAACTTTTATCTAGAATATATAAAGACCGCTTACTAATCAATAAGAGGATAAATAACCCCATAAAAATAGGGGAAAAAGATACACAAAGACACTTCACCAAAGAGGATATACAGACAGCAAAGGAGCACGTGAAAAGATGCTTCAGCATACTTAGTCATTAGGAAAATACAAATTAAAGCTATAATGAGGGCTTCCCTGGTGGCGCAGTGGTTGAGAGTCCACCTGCCGATGCAGGGGACACGGGTTCGTGTCCCGGTCTGGGAAGATCCTACATGCCGCAGAGCAGCTGGGCCCATGAGCCATGGCCGCTGAGCCTGCGCGTCCGGAGCCTGTGCTCCGCAACGGGAGAGGCCACAACAGTGAGAGGCCCACGTTCCGCCAAAAAAAATAAAAAGCTATAATGAAATAACATTACATGCATATTAAAATCGTTAAAATTTTAAAAGCTTATCATACCAAGTGCTGATGAGGATGTGGAGCACCTAGGACTCTGACAGACTGCTAAGTAAAATGGCACTGGCAGTGAAATACATGCAAGACTCCACCATTCCACTCCTGGACATTACTCAAGAGAAATGAACAACATGTACAAAATGTAGCTAGCAGCTTTATTTGTAATAGCCCAAAACTGGAAACAATTCAAATGTCTATCAACAGGTAAATGGATAAATTCCAGTACATCCATACAATGGACTACTAACTCAATAAAAAAGGAATGAATTACTGAAGCACACACACGGATGAATCTCCAAATAATTATGGTGAGTGAAAGAAGACACAAAAAACTATAGTATGATTCCACTTTTGGGTAATTTTGGAAAATTCAAACTGATCTGTAGTGACAAAGCTGATCAGTGTTTGCCTGAGGATGTGAGGAGTAGCCAGAGAGATTATAAAAGAGCACAAAGAAGCTTTTAGGGGTGGTGGGTATATTCATTATCTTGATTGAAGTGGTTTCATGTATATACATGTCAAATTTTGCCAAATTATACACTTATTTTTAAAAAGTCATTTGCCTTTTTCACTGTACAACACTTCTGCGTATACAGTGCTGGTTAAACTGCACATGATAATGTCATCATTCTTATAGATAATGGGATGCGTGTTCGTGTATTCTTTTGTTTTAAATTTTATTTTCCAGTATGGCAAACATCTATATATATGTAAACAGTGGTGTGCTAGAGTAGAATTGCACCAGCTCACAAGAGCCAATCGAGCACATCTATTCCCAGCTCTGTGTTTAGAGGTGTTACACTGATAGCTTGAATTTGGCAGTAAGTACACCATGGAAATTGGCAAATGCTACTACAAAATCGACTTCTTCTCAGACAGCTGGTCATTAAACATTTACCAACCCACCACTAGCTATAACATACATAAACCTCAATGGAATTCTTAATTTTTAATTATGTAAAAGGATTCTGAAAACCACCGGGCTAAAAACTTACCTTTATCAAGCTATAAGTGTTACTAGGGAGAAAAGAAAAAGAGACACTCACCCCTATCAAGAAAATCTTTTGCAGAGACTCACACTTTAGTTACCTTGACCAAATTATGCTACTGCCATTCTCCCAGGGGGCTCATTATTGAAACAATGTTTCCCCTAAAACTAAGGGGGTCTTAAATAGTTAGCGCCTTCCTGAATTTGAAGAGCCCAAAGGCTGCTAGGAAAGGTGCTGCCATCTCCTCTAGCCAACACCAAGGATCCATCACCTTGCTTTCCATAGCTACTCACAGACCAAAAATGTAACTTTAAGGTACTGCTCAGAGAACAAGTTTTCTACGTAATGGATTCCAACTCCAACAATCAGATAAGAAGTTCATGACACAGATATATTCATATCTGGTCAATCAACCATTAAGGATACCAAGATCTGATACTTTTACTAATTGCTTTGAGATAACTTGAATATGGAAGACTTACAGCCATCCCCTTGCCTTCTGCTCGTCTATGTCAGCCTGAGTCCTTTTTGACTATTTAATATGGTGTGGAGAATACCAGCATCAGTTGATGCTCCACCATCTCAACAGAGAGCTTCCCTATCCAGGAAGGGAAAAGGCTGAAATTAAAAAAAAACAAAAAAGAATCTCCATTAAAGAATTCAGAAGGGAGTTGATTATGTTGTAGAAACATATCTTCCTGTTTCATGACACGTTGGAAACATAAACATTAGGGCTTTTTCGCCTCCACTGCATAGAGGTCTGAGCGCTTCTGGCTAAAAATGGGGATTTGCTGGCGTATTTCAGCCAACTTCTTCAGGTCTGCAAAAACAGAAAAGTGCACTATTAGTAAGATGTAATTCCTTACCGCCCGACGGGAATTTCTTCCCCAAACGCTATGAAAACAACCAGAGCCTCAGCAAGTAATTTGCTCACAGGCCTTGTCTGGAGGCACAGACAGCCTGGCAATGCCCCTGTAGTCATTTCAAACCAAACCAAGAAAACTCAGGCTGAGATACAGCCCCAGGGCTTGGCCAGAGAACCAAGGATAAATGAGGAGGGTGGGGCATAAAGGAGCCCCTCCAGGTGACAGGGTTTCACAGCTATGGAATCTGGCCTCAGAGAATGGGGACACCAGAGACCTAAACTGTGCCAGAGCTAATCTTACCTATGTCTGAATACACGATCATTTCTTCAGTGCCAGCTTTGACGAGGACCTCCCCCCTGAAAAAGATTCAGGGGAAGAATGAGTGGATTCTCTGATGTTTGCTGATATTCAGGGTCTCTCTGTTTTTCCTCCCCATCTCACAGGCTAAAGGGGAAGGAATCTGAGATTTAAAACAAGAAGGTAGGGGCATAAATTCCTGTTCTACCATTGAAGTAGCTGTGTGGCCTTGTGGCAAGTCATCTGGAATCTCCATTTCCTAATCCATAAAGTGGAAATATGAGCTCTGTGAGGACTTGGTGAGAAAATTATGGAGTGTATTTTGTAACCCACAAACTGCTAGGGAATGGTAATTATTCTAAGATGTGATGGAAGAAATTTTCACATAATGAGGTATGGGGAAGTCATTCTGGCTTATACATCATTTAACTTAAACTTTATGCTAACTGGAACAGCCTGCCTTGTGGCCTATCACACATACATTGTACATCTGCTTTAACTATTAAAGAAAAGGGTGCACTGTCGAGAAGGAAAGAATGTTCGTTCCGAAGATGGAAATAAATGCCTCCCTTCCTGAGACATCAATGCTAATACTCTTTCTATATAAGGCTCCCTTCCCAAGCACCAAGGCCATACCACTTGCTGTATACATGCTGATCTTTTTTTTTTTTGAAATCTTGAAAGAATGTACACCTGTTGTGTTTGACATTCCTTGTTCTGACAAGATATAAAACTGTGCCGCAAACCATGCTTCTTCAGAATAGTTCCTCAGAGCTATGTGAGAGGCTGTCTCAAAGGCTACAGCCCTCAGTTTGGCTTGAATAAAACTCTTTTCTATTCCTATTATAGATTATTTATTATTTCTGTCGACGGATGTAAACATCTGGGAATAGAGACACCTATAACCAACAGGAAGCTCCATCTGTCTCCTCGTGAGTACATTCAAGACCCCTTTACAAGGGGAGTCTGGCTCTGTTTCTTCACACCTCCCAAGGCTGCTACCCAACCATGCGGATGGTGAGACTAGGCCTGGGCAGGGCCCAGATCTGCCTGGATCTCTGGTTTCATGCCTGTGATCCCTGGATCCCTATGTTAATGGCTTTCAGGGTTTGAGGGAAAGGTTTCAACCTATGGGGCCTGGGTAGAAATGGTAGAACCATGCCCTGGCAGGAACCCCACACTGGGAACAGCAACACTCCATAAATCTGAGGAAAAGCTGATTTGGAAAACTCTTTCCCGTGCTGAGGCTCTTGGCCCAAAACAGCTTCAGAAACGTATCTGTGAAATGAAATTTCTCCAAAGCACAAAACAAAGTAATCTGATACAACAAACAATCTGACATAATAATTGGTTCCATCTACCAGATGGCCACAAATTTTTGGCACAATGAGCTACAAACACCATCATTAATGCCATTTAACTGAATCCTTTTCTAGTCTCTTCTATTTCTTTCCCATTTGCCCTGGCATTC